GCTCCTGCCGAGCGCGGGGCCTGGCGCCCGCGCCGCCGGCCGCGGCACGCAGTGACTCCATGTGTAATTACAGTGACAATTTGCGCTGCTCGGGGCTCTTTTAATGGCTTCGCAGCCCAGGCGTGTTTTGTATCTCTAGTGCTTTGCAGGTATTTACACCAGGGCGAGCGTGCAGCGCGCTCCCCTCGCTCTGGGTAGCGGCAGTGCTGCGAGCAGCAGCTCCAGTGCATCCTCCTGTGCATCTATCCTCCTCTTCTCTCCCCCCTTCGCCCTCTTCCTCTCTCCCAATGTGTGTGCGTGTGCGCGCTAGAATGCAACACAGGTGAACACTGCAGCAGGACTCATCTAAGGCTGCATGTCATTTGGCGAAATGCCTTAATAAAATGCTGATTTACTGTTTATTTTTATTAAGCTCGCAGTGCTGCCGAGAACTGCATGTGCACGTTACTCGGGGAACCGAGGAAGGCTGAACTGTCAGCAGGCGATATGGGCACTTTTAGGGTTTAGGTCTCCCAGGTCCCTGTCCCCTTTCCCTTATCCCCCCCCCCCAAAGAAAACCCCAAACTTTGAATTATTTAACAGTAAAATTTGTATAGAATTTTTCTATGTCTAAAGTACAAACATTAAAGGTCTCTCGAGTATACGTGATGCAATGAATCTCCTGACTGAGATCTACAATATTTACTGTTGAAATTAATAAATGCACTCCAACGGCCTGTACATGCTGCAGCTGCTAGAAGACACATATTGAAAATTCAGCACAGACCTGGAATATGGACTGCTCTGCACTTCTGGGGAATTATGACTTGCAATTTGCGCTGCTACTGTTCTTTACGGTATAAAATAAACCAAAACAGTCTCTCTTTATGTTCCCAAGCAGTTATAGGGAGCACCTCACCCTGCATCTATTTAAAATGATCTGTTTGTTAATTAACCTGTTTTTGCATATATGGCTGTTTTTAAAGGAAAATRCTTAAATGCATGGAGTTACATAGAAGCTGTTGATCCTTTAGGCTGACAAGATAGCCTGCTTGCACAACACAGCGTATGTGTGCTCGTATATATGTAGAGGAACCATATATACACATGTAGGTCTATGCATGACTGAGTGTGTATGTATTTGTGTGCACCCACATATATATGTGCAGGATGTCACACTGCAAAATTGCAACTATATAAACCAGTCCATTTTTTCCCCCTCATGGATTAATATTACAAAAACCTCAAAATGGGAAGGCAGTATCATTTGTCAGACAGGGCCCAGAATTAATACTGCCACCAAGTAGTAACACATATACATTACTAATGTGCCAAGGCTGAACTCAGTAGTGCTACTGCTAATGAGGCCATTCATTTTTGCTTTCAGATTCTCAGCCTTTGAAACTGAGCACGAGTCTTTATTTTATTTTAGTATGTATCAGAGACTCTGAGAGAGGGAAACACTGCACGTTGCCACCCGTGCTCTGTGTGTAGAAGCTGTACATGCTAATTGTGCCAGCGCGCTCTGCAGATTACACCTACCCTGGCATCAACTGGTCAGATTTCTTACAATGCTGTGTTATTAGTTGCTCTGCTTCCTCATTACCTCTCAGGCTGCTCAGACACAACAGGGAGGACTGACTGGGACATCTGATATATCTAAAGGCACATGATCATGCTGATATTATGTAAAATTCTAATGAGCTTTTCTGAATTGGCTGATAGAGAGAAAGATGCTTTTCTTGCAATAGCTAGAGGCAGCAGTATTAGTGATCAGGCATGTGTTACATATAACAGGCTTGTGAGCTTATGCATTAAATTCTTTCAGTCAGRGGCATGAAAATTCACGTACTCCTTGTATGTATGTGTGTGTACAGCTATGCTCGCACAGATACACTTATGTATTATACATATTGACATGGACACATATGTATACATTAATGCATGCATGTAAAACATGTCGCCATGTTATAGGGCTTTCAGTTAAACGCAAGGCATTTCTTTGCAAATTATTTTGTGTCAAAGATGCAAAATATACCTTTAAAAAGATCACGTCCTACCTCAAGGCCACCTCGCTCACACACTGACTTAAGAAGTAGCTGCAATACATCTGCCACGTTTGGGAGATTAATCCGTGGAGCCTCAGTAAGCCAAAATAGCTAACATGACAATTATAACCTAGCTGTTCATTAGTCATATTACCAGTTAAATTTTCTGACTCTCAGTCATCAAGCAGGGCCTCAAAATCTAAGGGTGTCCATAAGACTGCACAAAACCACTTGTCTAGTCTGAATAATACCAAAAAAAGGTATACAGCAGTTGTTAATGTACATTTCCAAAACTGCAGGGTTGTCTAGTGTGTGAAAACTTAAAACAATGCRTAAGTCTGAAATTATTATCAGAAGCATAATCCAAAATATCAGAAGCAACTGCTAATACTACATGCACATCATCCTACCCCCAATTTACATAATTGTGTAAAACTTAACTATTCCAAAACCACCTTAGAAATGATCCGATTTCTATATCAGAAGAGACTGAGTGCAAATATATACTTTTTCTTCCTACCTCCCTTATAAATTCCCATTAATGGCCTGCAGATTAGTATGCGATTGCCATGCTTGTTTTCTAATCTTTTTATAGGTCTCCAGATGGCCGTGACGTAAAGAAGAAACATCCTGCGTGAATTTCTTAAGAATAAACAGTCTCTATTTGCTTTAAAGAGGAATGCTTATGAATCTCTAATTATTGCAGTCAGAGACTTGCCCTAATGCCATTACCCCCACCTTCTGTAKGGAGTACACAGAGGCACCCTACTTCAACTGCTCTGAACTACATAAGGAGGGAAAAACCTTCCAGGGATCCTCTTTCCATACTAATTGGAATATAATTCACATAAATGTAAACCAGAGTATGCAAGTACAACCCAGGCCAGCATTTCCTGCATGATATCTCTTTCCTTYCAGCCAGGTAAGTCACTTGACTGGCTTGCCTCCTAGCGAGGGTCTTATCCTTTCTTTTGTGACCACGATTTCATTTTACAGGCAAGCGCAGGGTGCATTTCTGTAATGTTGAGCACATGGTATGCAAAGGGAAATCTAATACAAATCCGAATTACCAAATAAGAAAAGGCAGACTAGCAAGAATGCAAATTCTTGAAAAATACAAAAGAACCCCGAAAGCTCAGTAATTATACGTAGAAACACTGCGTGCTGCTAAAGAACACATATTCATATTTCTTTCCTGCAATGTATTCTCTATTGTTTGACTTTGATTGAACAAAAAATAAAAATTACCGTTTCTTGTCGTGACTGTCTCTTTCTGTGGTCTTTCTGCGTTGTCTAAATCTGAAAAATACCCACCAAAAAAAGCAAAGGATCATAATTTAAACACTTTCAGCGTTGATTTGCATTCATGAAATGTATGTGAATAGACAAACATATGTGTGTTCAGAAGGCAAAGTATATATCAACATTTGTGATTATTTAATAAATTACCAAAACGCTTGGCTCTGTATTAAACAGGGAAATAACCAGCCACATTTCCTGCAGATGATCTAATGTGACATAAAACAGATATGACTAATGTGCTCCAGTATCTGCAGGGTTAAATGTAGTAATTAATATTTACAGGAAATAATAAGAACGATAGAAAACCAGTTCCACAATTATTTGTTGGGGGAGCTATGGTAAAGAAGAAAAGATTAATATTCGGGGCTGCTGAGCAGAGGCGGTGAAAACTACAGAGGCAGCTGTAATATTTGCATACTACAAGCTGCCAGTTGYTTAATAAAGGATGGAGGCTCCACCTAGCCTCCAGTTCCAAACATGCAAAACACATTAAGCCAGTATTTCCCCGCTACAATTTCCAGGTCTTTCAGATCATTGCTCTCCTGAAATCAGGATCATGAGGAAGGCAGCCTCTGTATTTACAGAGCTAATACCATATAAAGAGTTGGCCGTGTAAATAAATATAACGTAATCTACTCACTTTCATTGCATCATATCGATTACATCAGCCTTAGTTTAAGAGCAGATTATTTCCCACAAAGTAATAGTGTTAAAAAAAAAAAAAAGGTAAGCAATAAGCAACGTCTCCCCATTCAAGACTGCCAGAGAGTTTTTCCCTCGTGGAGAGGGATGCTGCTCGCCTGGCCGGTGGGCGGTGGGAGGACTAAAATAGAAACCCTCTTGCATAAGTCCCTCGCCTGCGGTGACACCCGCCGCCTGCCGCCCGCGCCGGGCCGCGCCGGGCCGGGCCGGGCCGGGCCGGGCCGCAGCAGCTGCCGGGCCGCAGCGGGAGTCCCAGTGCAGCGCGGTGCCCTGCGCGGCCGCGCAGCGCGGTGCGGCGACGAGCCGGGGCCAGACGCGCCGCAGCTGCCCCGCCGGCCCCGCCGAGCGCCGTAATTACCGCAGCATCAAACATTGATGAGCCCCGCGCAAAGCGACGCGCAGCGCGGCCAGCCTGCGCTCCGGACTGCCCAGRAAGTGATGGCTGCTGCCTCCAAGTGACCCGCGAGCACGAAGGCAGCCGCGTTCGGCGACTATGGTCACTCGGCTCTAGCACCTTGCTCATCTCAGAGCTGTGCCCCCCGCCCCCCCTTTTTATTTTTTATTTATTTTTATTTTTTTTAATATAAAGCTCTGAAATGTGAGTACGAGCTAGCTCCAATTTTAGGTGCTATCATCGCCTGCCCCTGTGTCGATCCCCCTCGGAGGATGCCCTGGCATCGCTTGGAAGCCGCCCGCCTGTCAATGCACACCGAGGTGGGGGCTGCCTGCTCGCCAGCAACCTGCTCGATAATTAGCAGCGCTCGCCCTCAAACTAGATGCAAGACCAACAGGTTCAGCATGAGCCGCACAAAATCGGTTAACTCCCGGGTCTCCTTTTTAAAGGAATGTCGCTCGCGGGCGCCGGCGTAGGCGCGAGAGCCCCGCCGAGACAACCTGTTCTGCGGGCCCCGCGCTCAGCTCGCCCCCCGGGCCGAGGGCCGCGGCCTCCGGGCACCCCGCGGTACTTACATTGCTGCTGCTCCTGAGGGAGAGGCTCGCCCGGAGCCAGGCGGTGAGAGGAGTCTCCGGTGCAAAACAAAGATCCCACGGGCAAGCCCCTAGCGCGCGGTGAGCGGCTCTTCCTGGGCGACAGAAATTCGCAGTTCTATTTAAAAGTACTGCTTAGTTCCACGGTGTGAATCTTGCATGCTTGGTTCTGAAGGATTGCAAGCTTCCATCCAGGAAAGAAGGGGAAAAAAAAAAAAAAGGAGAGAGAAATGCAAAAAGTAAAAAGTTTTTTTTTTCCTCATTTTTCCATATTGCTTCCTAAGCCCCAGAGCAGAAAGTGAAGTGTTGTATGTGAGGCTCTGCAAGTTTTTTGGGGGGGTTGGCCAAGGTCTAGTCCAGCCCTCTCTGCTGAGGAGGACGTGCTCTGAAATTCAACCAATTTCCCCAACGCTTTTGTTGCTGATGAACTGAAGCCCTATTGTTCATCCATTGCCACGGTCTTTTTCAGTTCCTACTATACGTTATGCGTTGCCAGAGATAATGAATTTGCACCAAAACCTCTGATAGTCCCATTCTGACAGACGGAACAAATTAGAAATGTCTAATCTAAAGAAGAGCAATGGCTACATTTTCCTAGAGAAGAAGGAGAGCGTACTTTTTTCTTAACTTAAAAAAAGCACCAAAAGGTCGCGTTTTCTAAGGTATTTTCCTCCAGCTAACTTCTGAAGAATAGTTTCTTCCGAATCCTGCTTTGGGGAGACACTGCCATTTTGTGTAACTTTTGTCAAAATCAGCCAAGCAGCCAACGGCAGCAGTGATAACCACGCTAACAAAAAGCATCTCTTCCAATTTCAGTTATCATGCAAACTTGTAGCGTGACCTCTCGCCAACACAGCGGTGGCTGGAAGAAGGCTTTCGAAAAGCTTTGCCTTTTCCTTTTTCTTTTTTTTTTTTTTTTTTTCTCCTCTCGCGCTCATTCAGGGCTCCACGTCGCAAGGCAGTAGTGGCTCAGACCCGACGGGAACCCGACAGCGCCGATGAGGCGCGGGCGAGGAGCGCGATGCGGCGGGAGAAGTTTGGGTGTGTGTCTGAGCGCGGGAGGTGCGCGGGG